GGAGGATCTATGAAGTCGGTGATCTCACCTCCACCCGCTCCCAAAAAGGATGCAAAGCCGCAAACTAACAACCAGCTAGTGGAAGCTCGTAAGTCCGCAAAACCGGAACTTCCCGAATTCCAGGGAATCCTGGAACTCTTCGAGCAACCCAAGCCTAAGCGAATAAATTTCATATCCGAGGGCTCCAAATACTGCTGAACTTCAGTAAACTCGATAAAAGCCTACCAAAGAAGGGTCGAGACCGATATGCGGGAGCGTGCTCCTTTACAGGATCCCAACCACAAAGTAGTTTTCCTGGAAAGCGAAACACTCGATTTAGACAAACCACACGACGATGCTCTAGTAGTTCATCTCGATGTAGGGGGGTGCGAGCTATCCAGGATTATGATCGACACCCGGAGCTCGATCGATGTGTTATTCTACAACGCTTACAAGCAAATGGGCTTCGGTGACGACATACTCTGCGGCACCAGATCGCCGATGACGACATACTCTGCGGTACCACCTATTCGATGGGTACAATCACGCTTTCGGTAGTAGCTGGTGGAGTCCAACAACTGACAGTATTCAAGGTTGTAGATCGCTCCGCCCCCTACAATGCCATACTAGGGAGGCCATGGCTCTACAACATGAGAGCAGTACCTTCCACATACCATCAATGCGTGAAGTTCCCAACCGCTGAGGGACTCAAGACAGTCCGCGGAAGCCAAAGAGCTTCCAGAATATGCTGCATGACCGGACATAAGCAGATCGAACAATCCCCCTTGTAGCAACTACAGAAACAAGAAGAGCTCGCCGAGCAGCCGGAAAAACGGGGAAACGACCCCACGACTCGCGGTCCACGCAAGGACCTCGTCGTCCCAATCTGTATCGACGAAAAACACCCCGACCGAGTAGTCAACATCGGATCAGAACTCTCGAGTTCTGTCCGCGACGAGCTCGTAAAGTTCTTCAAAGAGAATATTGCAACCTTCGCATGGTCCACAGAGGACATGCCTGGGATTGACTTGCAAATAACTTCCCACGAACTGAATGTCAACCCGACCTTCAAACTCGTCAAACAAAAACGCCGCAAGCTCGGCCCAAACCGAGCCAAAGCAGTGAATGACGAGGTGGACCGACTACTTAAAGTTGGCTCAATTAGGGAAGTTAAGTACCCAGATTGGCTAGCCAATCCGGTTGTTGTTAAAAAGAAAAACGGGAAGTGGAGAGTCTGTGTAGACTTCACCGACCTAAACAAAGCATGCCCGAAGGATAGTTTCCCACTCCCTCACATAGATCGATTGGTAGAAGCTACAGCGGGACACAAACTATTGACTTTCATGGACGCCTTCTCAGGGTACAACCAAATACTCATGAACCTTGAAGACCAAGAAAAGACGGCATTCATAACAGACCGCGGCACATACTGCTACAAAGTAATGCCGTTCGGTCTAAAGAACGCGGGAGCTACTTACCAGCCCCTAGTCAACAAAATGTTTGCCAAACAGCTCGGTAAGACCATGGAGGTCTATATCGACGACATGCTCGTTAAATCTTCAAAAGAAGAGGACCATGTTGCGCAGCTTAAAGAATGCTTCGCAATATTAAATCAGTACGGAATGAAACTCAATCCGACTAAATGCTCATTCAGAGTACCATCCGGAGAATTCCTTGATTACATGGTGACCGAAAGAGGGATAGAAGCAAATCCTAAACAGATCGCAACCTTTCTCGAAATGCTGTCCCCTAAAACTACTAGGGAGGTCCAAAGGTTAACAGGGCGAATAGCAGCCCTTAACCGTTTCATTTCGAGATCGACTGACAAATTTTTACCCTTTTACCAACTCCTAAAAGAGAACAAAAAGTTCCAATGGAACGATGAGTGCGAAACGGTGTTCAAACAGCTCAAGGCATACTTGAGTGAACCGCCCATACTAGCCAAGCCAGTCGAGGGAGAACCTTTGTATCTCTACGTAGCTGTATCTCCCGCCGCAGTAAGCGGTGTGCTTGTTCGCGAAGAATCAAACGAGCAGAAACCAATCTACTATGTGAATAAAACACTAGTAGACGCCGAAACTAGGTACCCCACTATGGAGAAGCTAGCCCTAGCAGTCGTATGTCTGCCAGAAAGTTGCGACCATACTTTCAATCACACTCCATAGTAGTAATGACCTCCCAACCCCTTCGCACTATATTGCACAGTCCGAGCCAATCCGGACGGCTCGCGAAGTGGGCTATCGAACTAAGCGAGTACGATATAGAATACAAAATCCGGACCTGTCCAAAAGCCCAAGTCTTAGCGGACTTTTTCATCGAGCTTACCCCAGATCCCGAAGATGCATCACCATCCAGCCAAAAGTGGACACTCCACGTGTATGGCGCGTCATCGAAACAAGGCTCAGGAGTCGGAATCAAACTAGTATCCCCAAAAAACGAAGTCCTCGAACAATCTTTCCGACTAGGATTCCAGGCCTCCAACAATGAGGCCGAATACGAAGCCCTCATAGCCGGTTTCAGGCTAGCTCTCGGGATCGGAGTCCGAGAAATAAGCGCATTCAGCGACTCGCAGCTCGTAAGCAGCCAATTTCATGGCGACTACATAGCAAAAGACGAACGAATGGAAGCATACTTACGTCGTCCGCCAAATAGCAAATTAGTTTAGTTCATTCGAGCGAACCAGAATTCACTGGGGGAGAATACCTCCGCCGATGCCCTGGCAGCCCTAGCATCCACCTCCGACCCAATGGTCAAAAGGGTGATTCCCGTAGAAGGAATCGAAAAACCAAGCATCGATCTAGCCCCCAAGGCAGTCAGCGTAGTAACCGCCTCCGACGAGGCCGGACCATCCAACAGACCCTGACCAGGGGTTACGACCAACCAACCCGACAACCCGGTCAATGCACCGCCTAACCCCGAGAACCAATCCGCTCATCCAAAGCCCGAGGACGAACTGGATGACTGCGAAGATTTCTTAGACAGACCAGACTGGAGGACTCCGATTACGGAGTATATCTAGGACGGTATAGCTCCCACCGACAAATGGGCAGCAAGAAAGTTAAAAGCTCAAAGTGCCCGATACTGCATAATGGAAGGTAAACTATACAAGTGTAGCTTGATAGAACCCTACCTCCTGTGCGTACACGGTATCGAGGCCCTAACAATTATGGCCAAAATGCACGAAGGAATGTGCGGAAGCCACTCCGGAGGACGAGCTATGGCAGTTCGCATCAAAAGACAAGGCGAGTTTTGGCCTACTATCATTGCAGACTGCGAAAACTATGCCACGAAGTGCGACAAGTGCCAAAGACATGCACCAATGATCCATCAACCAGCTGAAAAGCTATCCTCAATATCCGCACTCTACCCATTCATGAGATGGTCGATGGATGTAGTGGGACCACTAGTGGTCTCAGGACGCGCTAAAGTCCGCTTCCTACTCGTCCTAACTGACTATTTCACCAAATGGATAGAGGCCCGAGCTTACCAACAAATCACCGGATCGGAAGTCAAAAATGTTGTCTGGAAAAACATTGTCTGCAGACACGGCCTCCCTTACGAGATCGTAACGGACAATGGGACGAACTTAACATCGAGGAAGTTTGCAAGGTTCTGTAACACTTGGAAAATCAAGCTCACATCCTCCACACCCCGATACCCACAAGGTAACGGACAGGCGGAAGCCGCTAACAAAACAGTCCTAAGCAACCTCAAGAAGAGGTTGGATTCAAAGAAATCTCGGTGGAGCGACGAGCTACCCGGGGTACTCTGGGCGTGTAGGACTACGCCCCACCGAGCTACGGGAGAAACACCTTTCTCTCTAGCCTACGGCATGGAAGCTGTTATCCTGGCCGAAGCATCGGTACCAAGCATCCGTCGAACCTTTTGTCCGGATAACGGAAAACTCAATGAAGAAATGCTAAGAGATCGGCTAGATATGATCGAGGAACAACGTGATCGAGTCCTAGTCCGCATCCAGAATTACCAGCAGGCCGCAGGTCGCTATTACAATTCCGGAGTCAAACACAGGAGCTTTAGTATTGGCGACTTCGTGCTACGCAAGGTATTCGACAACACTAAGGAGCGAGGCGCCGACAAGCTAGGCACAAACTGGGAGGGCCCGTATAGAGTCACCGAAGTAGTGCGTAGCGGCGTATATAAGCTCGCAAACAACAAAACCGGAGTGCCAGAGGCAAGACCATGGAACGTTATGAATCTCAAACGTTACCATCTCTGAGCATTGATAATAATCGAACTACGTTCAGGCTTGATCCCTTGACGGGGTACGTAGGCAGCTCGACACTGAGTCCAGCCACTATCTTTACATACTCAAATACTTTGTAAAAACGTATGTAATCAAAGTTTTGTGAATAAAAACCCTTATTTCAAAACACTTTCTCCTTCGATCTCTTCAAACGATCTCACAGCTCGAGGCTCATAGCCCGCTAAGTATCGATTGAGCCAAACAATCTCAGCTTAGTTCGCTGACTAACTTTAGGTAGCTTCCAAACGACCCCCCAAAACGGTCGCATAACTTATAGATTGCTGTGTGCTAACAAACACTAAACAAATTTACAGCAACTCCGTTATTCGCAGTAAGTTATCAATAAACGATTTGTTCAAACAATCGCAAAACTCGTAGCTCGCTGAGTAACTTAGTGCATACAGAATAAAGTTACTATCACAGTTCGTTACTCGCAACTTAATACTATGACGCGATCTCCATAAACAATCACATAGTAATCACTTCGGCACTATCTAAACAAAAAGTCTTTTCGAAATCTTTTTCTAAGGTCTTAAAAGACAATCAAGCAAATTGATAACTTAGATAAAATCGAAGAGTGAAAACAAATTCAAAAGCAAGCATAAAGTAGCCTCCTCCAGGCAAAACAACCAAGTACGGATTAAAACCCTCCCGGGTAACAAAAGTACTAAAAGCGTGATAAAACAAAATGAAAAGCCTTGCAGGCAACTAAGTTCATGAAAAAAGAAAAAGAGGAGGGGCTAAAGAAAAAGGAGGATTACTCCTTAGGCTCGTTCTCGTCACCATCTTTCTCCATTGGGATCGCCGAGTCATCCACAAGCTCGTCTCCACCTCCAGCAGCGGTGTTACTCCCAAACTGATTAAGCCCAACCGGAACTTGCGTCCTGGGATCAACTTCCATCGGCCTCACCGACGCCTCCGAGATCTGCGGGAGATCGAGCTTGGCGAGAGAGAAATCAGACACTTCAGCATCAGCGTGCTTTTGGACAAGCTCAGGAATCTTCTCTTCGAGGCGAGCTTTCTCATCCGGAGCCGTGAGAGCCCCACTGATCAGGTCCTTGATGAGATCCAAGTTGGATTCCACCTCTTGGAGCTCGGCCTCACATGCAGCTTCGACCTTCTTCTTCTCCCACTTGTCTTTAAGAGAGTGGAAGATGGCCAGGTACTTCTCAGCGAACTCCCGCTTCGCCTTCCTAACAGCCCGCCTGACCCTCACATCGACCTCCTCTTTGAGGACACGCACCTTCTCGGTCAGATCGTCAGCACGCCGGCTCGCAGAGTCCGCCACCGTCTTCGCAGATCGAAGCTGGGCTTCCAGACGCTTCTCCTTGTCTTCCGCGTTCTTGACCTTCGATGAAATGTCAAACACGGTCTTCTTTATCTCCTCGAGCTCGTCGGAGGTGGGCATGGTCAGAGACTTGTCCTCAAGTATGGCAGAGTACTCGTTGACAGCCTCAAGAGCCTGACCAAAAGAACGCCCGTTAATACGAGCACAAACCAGAAAAAAAAAATCAGCCAACAAGTAAAAACACATACCCGTCAGTGAGCAGCCATCATCTTCACGTAGGTGGCATGCTCCGCCATGTCCCGAACTGGAGGAAGCACGCAACCCGGAGGCTTGAAGTGCCGAAAGATGAAAGCTACCCCCTCCGGATCATCAGCAATGGGGCACCCTTTAGTATGGTTGAAAGTCCAACCATACGGGATCGTTCCCCCCGACCCGTTCGAGGAATTCGACCTCATGTCTGGAGCCGGATCCTCCACCCTTTGCTTCTTTGGATGCGAAGTCCTCTCAGAATCTCGCGAACTAAGCGAGATAGCCCTGGATGTTGGGTCGGCGGGAAGACCTCCGGCCGGAGTCTCGTAAGCCCTAGAGGTTTGTTCGAGCACGTCACTCACAGCTAGGTGGATCTCACCGGTGCGGACAGCTCCGGAGCTCCCAGCCTGAGCCCTGCTTTTCCTCGCCTTTTCGGCCTCACGAGCTGACGGTCTTCGAGTCATTTTTCCCGTAGATGGCTTACGGATCAGAGGTTGATGCGAGGTGCTTGAAGAAGTAGCGTCTGGGACTTCCCGAGAGGTCGTTCCCGAAAAACGAAAAAGCACGAACTATATAATAGCTCGCCAAATTAAAGAGCATAGTTCGGACGAACTAAAGATGCTCGAACTAACCAATCGGGATCGGGTGGAAATTAGCCGGACGGTTGATGGAAGGTGGGTTTAACGGGTCAATCCCGGGATCCGGAGCAATAGCGAGCTGCGGGTTATCCGTTCCAAGCGCAAGATGGATCCTCTCCCTCGTGAAATTGGGCCACGAACAGTCACCGTCCTTCAAAGCAGCAAGCAGCGGTTTGTCTAAGCCCGTGTTCGTCGGAACAACTGCAACAAAAAAGAAATAACAGTTAGCAAAGGGCATAGAAGCGAGAATAAAATCAACTCCCCTAATGCTGACCAACTCTCGAAGACCAAACAGTGGGCAGCCGACTGAAATCGAAGGACCCAACGGAGTATTCGTTAATCCTAAAGAAGAAATATTTCTCCTTCCAGCGATCGTCGCGAGCGGGAATGTCTTCGAAGATACTTTGATTCTTCCGAGGAGATAGATAGAACGACCCCGGGAAGGACGAATTGCTCTTAATAGAGCAATCTCGGTGGAGCTTGTTGATTCCAAAAGGAATTTGAGACTCCGCCGCTCTAACCAGCAACGCCAAGGCATGGCGGACGAAGTTAGGGTTCATCTGCGGAAACGCCAACTGCAGATCTGCCAGGATAACAAGAAGACCCGGCGGAATCGGGAAGGAAAACCCGCATGCATCGAAGAATGGGGTGTATGCGACGCAATAGCCAGCACGCACGGTCTTCGGCGTCTCTCCTCTGTCCGGAACAATGAGTTCGATCGCCGAGGGAACGTCGTGAACTCGGCGGAGGCGAACAAGCTCTTTCGGTGAAACGATCGAGACTGTTGGGACATCGAGATGATCCATCGGAGAATGTTTCGGAATAGAATTCTTCTCGAAGCGAAGTTTTTGCGAAAAGTATAAAACTGTTTTGTTTTTCGAGCAAAGGAAATCGAGAAAAACTGAAAACCAAAATAAAAAGAAAAGGAGGTGAGAAGTTACCTTGTAGAAAGTGGAGGCGTGCAGTTATGATGAAAGGACGTGGAAAGTTGATCCTTATAAAGTAGTAATTATTACTGCTATTGAGATTAACAAAATCTTCGCGAGATCAAATCCGAACCGCTCATCACCATCTGCGAAAAATATTTTACCATATCTCAATAAGATTTGAATACATCGTATCAAGGAAAATCTTAAGCCTTGATGGTTAAATAAATCTCGGCCTTTCATTCGTAGGAAAAACAATCTGGACCGTCCGGATAAAATCTTAAAAAGAGGGAAAATCGAAGTATCCCGCAATTAATCCGCCCCTTTAGTTCGAAGCTCACTAAATGGGCTGGGGGGCAAATGTTGGTGTTGGACTTAACACAAGTCCAGCCCATACTTCAAATTAATCATCGCATCAGCCTTTCTGGGCCCAAAGCCCGTTAACGAAAGGAGAAAGCATCTTGGAAGGATATTCGATAGATCGTGACGAGCTTTAAGGAGCAAGCAACCCGGATAAGAGAAGATCCCGAAGATATCGGAAGACTAGAGATCGCAACGTCCCGCGAATCTCGAAGGAGTTCGAGTCGATCTGTTTAGTATAAATAGGATATCACTTCTATGTAAAAGATCATCGGATTTTTAGCTTGAAACACACTTGTAAACTTATAATTTCATCAATACAATCCAAATTCGTCGATCTTACTCTTTTACTTTACATCGATCTTATCAGAATTCTTGCCCATCCTCCTCTTCCACTTAACCAAATACTAAACTCTTGAGTGTGGATTTTAGGATCCACAGTAGTTATGGCAGTTCAAACAAGAAATAAACCAAACACAGTCCTGGTTGGAGGTCACACATGAATTACATGATCCACATTGGGGAGGACGTCATAGATACAATAAACAATATGGTGATTGACGGCCGAGTGTACTTGCCTAAAGTTTTTTTATTGATTTCCCAAATGTGGTTTGAAACACCTTTTGATGTGCTGTGAGCATTGTTACCTGTTCGCTCAGTACCAAATTGTCAGGAATGTTATTGCACCTTAGTTATCTGTGAATTCATGTTCTTGTAGACCATTTTAATTTCTTAGTTGTATATTCTTCTATCGTAGTATAATATTAATAGTAAACTACTTATGTTGTAGTTGACTATTTTTTGTGTTACATGGTTTGTAGGGGTAAAGTCAGGAATATAAGTTAAAAATATATGTCAGAGAAATGTATATTTCAGAAAACGGACAACAATGTTTATCTAATCTACTATTGCAACCACAATTTACTACCACTACTAAATTACATGTTAAACAAATTATGTATATTATTATGCAATAGTTAATTATCAAAAAAAAAAATTGAATACATATTTAAAAATCATAGTTGTTTACTACATATTGCGTACTCTGACCAAATGATTAAATCTAAAAATAGTCAATAATGGCTTTCTTGTCTTCCATTGCAACCACAATCTACTACCGCTATTAGAATATCATATGTTAAATAGGTGATTGACTATTATTACTCACTAGTTAATTATCAAACAAAATAGAAAGAACAGTTGAATACATATAAGCCAAACATAGTTATCTACTACATAACTGCATACTACTGGCCAAATGGATACATAGTTCTCTACGTTTTTTTTAATAGATTTTCATTTGATATGGGTTTTTTTGTGGTCAAAGAAATTCATTAGATATGTTTTCCATTTTTATTTCTTCAAATTTGCTAAAGCCACGAGGGATAGTTGAAAGAATATTTTGTGCTTGATTATTATGATCATGACTTCTTTGACCAGATTAGGTCGAGATTAATCCAAGGGTGATTGGATAATATGGGTTGACCTATGATACCTATTTTGCAGTCAAATTTTACCAAAATTTGTCTAAATGAACTCCTTTATCCACAAACAAAGAATAATAACATAGTTTTATATTATCGCCTTATGATAGTTACAATACAAAAAGAAAACCTATTGGTTTACAATTTTATCAACCGACTCTAGCAAGTGTACTCGCATTGGCACAAATTAAAATTACCAAGCATGAGACAAGATCCATGTCCAGCATTATACTTTGCTGCACAATTCCCATCACAACATTTATCAGAACAATTACCACTGCACAGACCAGCCCCACCAGTGCACACCTTGGGCGGTAAAGGTGGTCCACAATGGAAGATGCACGTGCATAGCAACGGCTGACCAGCAACACCGTCACATTGGGTTCGGACCGACGGCCCGTATTTGTCTAGGCATTTCTGATCACAGTTTTCGCAGGTACCTAGAATCTCGGTGCATGTGTCTGCTCTACTTTGATTCACAACTGCAACATAATATAATTCCATTTTTAACATAAAAAATTATGCTACTTTTATTTATTAGATTTGTACATTAGTTTATAATTTAGACACGCTAAGTCTATGTATTATCATTATATTAAATAATCATTACAAAAAGTATCATATTACTGTCGTACCTATATCTAGTATAATCGTAGTTTAGAACATTTTAAACTGTAAGTTTAATTTATGGACTGAAGAAAAGAACCAGAATGATTGAAAGATATATACCTGAGGTAAACATGATAAGTAAGCTTCCAAGGAATATGAGTGAAGTTCTCCTCTGCATATTTTCACTTTTTTTTTGTTTTCTTCTAAACTCCTTTCTGTGAGAAAAAAATTGTTTGTATGTTATTGGGACATTTAGTTCATCTATTTAAAAGCAAATTGAAGACTCCAAATTAAAGATATATGGATTTTATTTTTGAAAATTAAAACGAGGACATTTAATTCCGTATATAAACAAGTTAGGTAGTATTTTTTTCAAAAAAAATGCTGATTTATTCCCATTTTTAGTTAGACCAATAAAGTTACATATGTCCAAAATCTATCAAACGTTTTTATTTGTCAACAACAGGGAACAACATTGATATACTATATAAATAAAAGAGGGCCAACTCATTTCAATTGAGCTCCACGTCATCACATGAAAAGCTGTCACGTGTAGTTAGAATTTTGGTGATAACAATTTTAGTGGTGTGAGAATCTAGTTGGGTGATTACATTTTTTTATTATAACAAAAACTATATCGTATCTTACAATTTTGTCAACCGACTAGCTGTAATTCTTTAAGTGGTTGCATGTAATTTCGATTTCTAGAATACTGTAACAAAAAGCTCGCATCTCAGATGTAGACAGGCTATTTTTTTTGGTTTGAATACAATTTAACATTCATTCAAAATAAAAAAAAATTGGCATATAACAAGGAATCCGTGTCCACCTTTATAATTTTGTGCGCAGTTCGTATCAGAACATTTATCAGGACAATTTATATTACACAGACCAACTAAGCGAACAGAGCCCCACTACCATCACTACAAGAAAACGCTGGGAATCCAGCGGCCAATTATGTTGCTAACAATGGTCATCAGAAACTCGTTGAATATTTCCAACAGATTACCGTCGACATCTTTTCCAACAAGTTTCCGACAATCGGTGCCCGTGAGGTGACATTCCAACGGATTTTTGATGGAATGTTGTCAAAACCTGTTTTCGTTAAATTGTGGGAAGGTCATCGAAAATAGTCCGTCAATAACCCATAGGAAATCTGTTGATATATTTCCCACGAAATTCTAACGGATCCTTTTTCAACAGTATCGACGTACTATTTCCGACAACCATCCGACAGCTTAAATATTTTAACAAAAAAAATATTTAATTAAATAATTTGTTGCAGATATAATACAGTTAACTATAAATAACTTCATAAACATGTTTATGTAAATAACTTCATATTCATGTAAATAATTTCATATTCATGTAAATAACTTCATAATAAAAACAAAAATTATTTCTCGGTCCATAATGGAATTCGAACCCAAGACCGAGAGTATAGATGAAATGTCCTCGATCCGCAATAGGATCACTGGGATGAACCATGGTCGAGAAGTGGGATAGAAGGGGCAAGAGTCTAAGTAAAGACTCGGTCTATGGTCCAAAGTAATCGGCTAAGTTCATTGGTCTAAGAATTAGTCGGGAAAAAGAAAAAAAGACCGGAAAGATAGACAGAAAAAGCTCAATAAGCTGTGCGGAGCTAAAACAAGCTGGACAGCTAAGCTAAGCTAGCTGGATCAGCTGTCGGGTTGGTCAGTTCAGCTAGGCTAAGTGATCGGTAGCTGGGTTCAGTTGAGTGGGAGTTAAACTAGCTGGGCTGGGCGGTTATGGGCGGTTATGGACAGTTATGGCCAAAGGGTTGCAAAGCCTATTCACCAAACAATGCACCTGTTTGGCCAAAAAAACACGAACCTGTTCGCATATGGCAGTTACAAGAAGGAGGAAACTATAAATAAGACCCTTTGTCCGCATTTTTACGCACGGACAAACAGAGGGAAAGGTTTAGGTCGTGAGATTAAGGCAAATCGAGAAAGACAGAGAGAAAGAACTTTACCGGCGGTAAGTGAACCGACCGGAGCGGCTGGTATGGGTCGCAGAGGAAGAAGAGAAGGTACAGGCGCAGCAAGGGCAAACCAACCGCAAGTGACTAACGTACGTTTTATGGTTGGAAGCGTACGGCAAAGTTATTGGTTCGCTGGACGAATCTGTTGATCGGCCCAAGTATAGGCTAGGCCGATTGGACGGTAAGTCTCAGCCAAAGTGATAAGCGTTCACCGGGGGCACAAGACGATCGGCCCAAGTATAGGCTAGGCCGACCCGACAGTGTGTCTCGGCTGAAATCTCAGAAGATCGCTGGCCGTGAAATTGAGATTGGACCGGCGATGGTGCGCAATAGGTTGTGTAGTTATAGACCAGATCCGGTTAGCGCGGCTGGCTGATGTGAGTGCAGTGGGCAACACAAGTTTTACCCTAGACAAGCTGCAAGTGCACAGCAAACGCAGTAGTACTTAGGGATCGAATCCACAGAGATCTGTGTGTTGAGGACTCCTAACTGATGCTAAAAACAATCGTAAACCTAATCTAATAAAAAGGAGTTTTGGTTTGTCACTAAATCTAATTATGCAGAGAATTAAAAAGAGCTTTAAATAAAAATCGGTTGAAAAACAGTAAGGAAAAAGCGCTGGGTTTAAGGTTCATCTTTAGGGTTCATGTTCTAAAACACAAGGGATTTAGGCAAAGATTTTCTATGACTCTGAAACTAGGATAGACACATGTAAGATTAGCCAACTCTCGTCACCCTAATCATCTAATCACTTGTTCATGGCAATTAACTCTCGCTCTCATGCCAGAACAAAATCATGCTTTGTAGATCGGAATCCATCTCTGCTTACGTATCCTCCGTAGGTAGCTTTCGTCTCCTACAACAAGGACATCCATAAGATCCGGTTCAGGCAACCCAGATACAACACTCTCGTGGCTTGGATTAAACCTAGGATCGGATTCTGGGTGATCAATCCAGAATTACCGCTTTGAGAATTGGATGACTGACAGAATCATGTTAAAAATCGAAATCCTTTTTCCTAAAAACCTAGATGTCATTCGAACATGGGGTCCCTTTGGATTACCCTTTCACCCAACTAGGTGACTACTCAGACATCATCATCGGTTTAAGAAGAAGAAAAGTAAAAGAAACAAATTTGCAGAAAAACTTCTCTTATTGAAGACAGAATGGCGATGGAGAGCTTCTACAAATGCATAAAAATAAAACCTAAAACTACCAATGACTTCTCTCTCAAAGAGAAGCAAGAGACTCTCTTACAAAAGACCTAAAAATGAGTATTTATAGTGTTTCTCCAAGTCTTTGGCGTCTAGGACTTGTAAAATGGGTGCAGGAAGTGTCTTGGGCCTTAGTTGGGCTCCTGAGGTTTGGACATAGGTCCACCGGGAATGAAACCTCCTGAGCCGCGGTGGGAAGAAGGCTGGCCGTGGGTGAAAGCACTTGTGCTTGTCTGGGCTTGTGTTGATCGGCCTTCAGTGCATTGATGATATCTTGAGATTTAACCGTTGGATTGCTTTGATTCCAAGCGTGTTGGAAAGCATTTTAGAAATCAAAAACATGGAAAACACTTATAAAATCTTTAAAACTGAGTAAAAACACATGCATAAGATATTGAAAGTGATCCATAAAAGTGGTCAAATTCAGGTGTTATCAACTCCCCCAGACTTAAACCATTGTTTGTCTCAAACAAAACCAAAGATCTTAACCTGGAAAAGAGGTTTGAAAATCGCAGGAATTAACAAAATCTCAGCGATCATGCTTCTAAACCAGAGTTAGTCATTATGCTCAAATCAAGGATAGTCTAGAAAATTTTTACCAAAGCACAAACATAACTAGTCCGTTGATCCGTCATGTGAAAGTCTACACACTTAAACCTATCCTCCAGTCAACTAGCTCTTAACATTCATTCAAATAGTTCAAGTGGTTCTCATCAAAAGGAGTTTAGCAAGGCAATGAAGGCTAGGCATTCAAAATGGCTGTTTAGAAGGTGAGGCTCTTATTGTTTAGGGTTACATTTTCTGGAGAGATAAGACATTATGCAAAACTGCAAAACAGCAAGAGAGGGTGGAGCTGTTGATATCCACAGTTTCCAGTCACATTTTTCTTGCTTTAAGATTCTTGATCTCCCTTCTTCAGGTTCTCCTCATAACTCCTCCAGACTTAGATTTTTTTCCAGGTTTTAAAACCAATGCTCACAATTGAATACTTGCAGCCTTTGCTTCAAATAATTTCGGCTACCCTAGACTCTTTAGGCTTTTAGTTTCCTTTCCTTTCATTCTTTTTCTATTTTTTCGATTTTTTTTTTTTGCAGAAAGGGGAAACCGCCTTTGGATTGAGAGTCTTAGGAAGCATGAAATTTACCTTTAAATTCAAGCTTTTTGAGGCACCATCGAGCTTTGATAGGATTGTTGATACTCCTCTTTTCCAAATTTCTTCAGTTCTTCTCTTGAGTGACTGAAAACCATGTTGTTCCTCCCTCACCGGCGTTTTTGCACATATCTGCCAAAAGAGCTAAAGAGAGAATGCATGAAGTTTGAAATGATGGTTTTGGGTAAAGGGTGTGGTACCAGCTAAAGATGAACTGGTAATCTAGGACAACAAAGAGTGGTAACAATGATGTAAAGATGTCCTAGATGTGTATCATGATGCCTGCTAAAACCAATGATGAGAAAATTAGATGTCAAGATCATGTTCAATTGAAATGAGCTAGTATATCCTGGCAGAATAAGTCTCCATGAATAGAAATCCTCTGGTGGGAGTTCGTAGTGCAAGTACTCTAGCTACCGCCTAGTCTAGTACTAACCACAAAAGAAACTAGCATGAAAAGTCTAGAAGCACATGGGTCTTACTCATCATAGTTTTGTGTCAAAAATTCCTAAAAAATACTCCAGGTCTTTTAATAAGCATAAAAAAATTTAAAAATTGGAGAAAAAAATAAGAAACAAAGAAAAATAGATTAGTACGGATAGACATCCTCCCCCAGACTTAAATCACACTGTCCCCAGTGTGAAAAAGTTGGTGAGAAGATGGTGAAATAAAAGCAAAAGAGTATAAAATAAAAGAAAAGAAAAAAGATGATAGAACCGTGGGTATGATGCGGTGATGAATAGGCGCCTATGTCTCATGGCTGTCATCTGTCTCTGTAGATGAGGAGTCATCAGACCGGCGGATCTTCAGTAGTCTCTTCATGCGC